AAGATGATATGATGAGATGATAATAATGCATGAGAATATCGTTGATATAAACAGCAAAAATGCATTATCTCTTGACAGTAACCTTCGTTACTACCATTACTGCCACCTTCACTATTAGAATAATCACTTCGACTATGCCGTCAATGAATACTAATTATTTCAATGGAAAGGCCATCCCATTATACTCCATAATAATCTTACCATTTCAAGGAGAATCCAATGGGTAATTATCAAAATTGCGGTAAATAACCAAAGTATAGCTAATGTTGTACAATACTTGTTTCCTCACCAAAATTTGAATAATTGAACATTTTTTAAATCATTAATTCAAATCATTAATTGTTAATATTTGTTTGAATAATTAGTTAATACAGGAAGAGCATTCATTTAAAAATTAATTACCATTTTTGGGATAAATTCACAGTTTCATCGTTCTTCAACATTATATACATGACATCCAGAATTTTCAAATTATTATTTTTCATCAGGAACGAACTTTTGAAATTATCAAATGACAAAATTTATTTCTTCAAGTTATTTCATTACAAAATTCACTTTTCGAAACTGTCAAATTTAGCCGAATTAATCATTTCTAAAATAATGCTTGAATTGCTTATTTGTTAAGTATTTCACATGATCTCAACGATGTTTGAAAAATTATTATTAATGAGGCATCCTGAGCAGTGAAAAAATTACCGGCAACATTGCGTGAATTTTAAAATTTATCAATTTATTGACATTAAAATGCAGGAATAATAATAAATTTATAGCATAATATCAACGAATAATTTGTGCGCAATAAATTTTATATCACAATTATTCAAATTTATGAGGGAGTGAAAAATTTTGCATGCTTATGTGCTTAATTGGAAACAATAAAAGTAAGAAATGTGAGCATATATACATGCTCACTTCATCACTCATTGAAATTCTAATAATAATATTAATAAAAGAAAACTTACAAACGCAATAACTCACGTGATATCATCTGAGTTATTGTTTTCATAAAAAAAAAATGCAAGCCTGGAATGAAACCACATAAAAATCGAAGCGATTGATTTTTTTTTTTATCACTTGCTTCTCTTCTTTTATCTTCATTACAATATCCTTAAGATAAAATCATTTCAGTTTTCTCTTAGTCTGTCTCACTTTTTTTCGTATTTCCTTTGACAACAATTATTTCCTTGGATTAAAAAATTCAAACATAAAAGTTGAAGTGAACAAAAAATCAAATCAAGTTTGAATTTCGTCCTAATCTATGTTTAATTATCGCTTAATCATAATCAAAGTTTTAATCATAATGATAGAGTTAGTTGCATCACAATAACACTCTTCATTCGAACTATTAGCAGAGCAAAAATAAACTCTGATGAAATATATAATTAATAATTGATTACTTTCACCTCATTTTTCTATTCCATGCAAAAATAATACAACATTTCATCTGGAAGATAAATTTTCATTCGTTTGAAAATTCATTAAAGAAATCTTTTGGAAATAAAAATTTCATTGTTTTCCTCAACAATTTATAATTAGTTTCCGAATTTTCTCATACAAAATTACCATCAAGTAAATGAATATTAAGAGATCAGTTATTTTTTTTTTAACAGGATCATGAAATCAGCCAACAGCAAAAGAAAAAAATATCATAGAAAAAGATTTAGGCATAAATTTCGAGAAAAATCATTAATCACAATTATTCTTATAGGTGAATGGCACTAATATTATTCAAAAATTCATAAATTTTTCAACATATAATGCTGCAATCAGAATCACGACAACCATGCTTTAAATAATAACTTCGAGTTTTCATAACCCACAAATAAGCATCCGGTTGCGTAGAATGCACGAATCAATGTAATAGTTAATCCACTGTACAGTGTTTGTATGCCTCAATAAAATATTGTGCAAAATACAATGACGAAAACAACAATTTAATAGATTAAATACCAACTAATATAAGAACTATCACTTATGACATACAAAATTTGACTTATTAAGCTACAATAATTAGAAATGACTTAAAGATATTTGAAAATATTCTCTATAAAGAATTTCAAAAATTTAAACTCTGATGAAAATCTCACTTTTTAAATAATAACAAAAATACTGATAACCAATAAAATACCTTCGTTTTTGACAATACTACGAAATATATCAACGAAACTTCCTGCGCCAGCAACTTGCATACGTGATTTAACCACATCCACAGGATAAACAACACTCCATAACACTACACCGCCAATTCCTCCGGACAACGCTGTTCGTAAAATACCTGAGAAGAATTCTAATTTGTAATTTTAAGGGAATTATGAAGATTCAGAGTTACAAAGAATTTTTGAAATGCTCAAAACTTACTGATTGTAATCTTATAATCTTTTCTTTCACATCTATTACAAAAAATGTAAGAAGCATAACATAAAAATAAACCAATTTCAGATTTTGATTTTCCTTCTGGTATTAAATAAAACCTCGATAGTTCATATGCACCAAAAAACAGGAAATATCCAACCGTTTCACGACATAAAGTTGATAACAAACCAGTATAAAAAGCCCTTATGCCAGATGTTCGATACATACTCCGACATATTGAGAATGGAGTGCTAAAAAAATAGTTCAACTCAATTATAACATGATTTCGGCTTTTAAATGAACTTTGTAAATGAAAAATAAGCATTAATTAGAAACAATATAGACAAACAGCCAATTTAGATGTTCTCAAATCTGAGAATAAGGTTTTAGGTGAAAATTGTTTTAAAACTACTATCGTTCAAACAATAAGATTTTTAAACATAAATCCGAAATCAAAAAAAAAAAACTATTATGGCAAAATATAAAAATTAAACCGAAAAATTAGCAAGCAAAATTTGAAAATGAAAATCCATTTAGAACTGCTACTCCAGACAGGCTAACAACACCGTTAAATAACTAACTAATGCACACCTCAGTTATATAATATAACAATTTGAAAATTTCATACACAAAAAAAAATCATCCAATTCCAGTATTTGATGTCCAACTTAATGAATATCCATCCTGTTTGAAATTTCATAAATATGTAGGACTTTTTACTTTTCATGGAATAAATACATTACATTTACCTCCGTATTCCGGGAAAAGCCTCTTTTTGGGCTTGCAATTTGCATTTGACAAGTTCCGTCGGACAAATAGCCATTGCTGCAAAAACGGATGCCAATGAACCGGATAAAGCATTTTCAACTGGTGTCATATCTTCCAATTTTGATCGTCCAATACAAAATGCAACCACCTAAAAATTTTGTACCGAATGAAAACGTTATAAATTAAATATATTCAAAGAAAAATTGATTATTTTAAAATCGATGAAAAAAATACTGACTATTTTAAAACTCGATGATGAGAAAAAATAGTACAGATCATCGAATATTCAAGACAAATTCTAACTTATTCTTTCAAAAAAAAAAAAAAATTTCTTATGATTTCTTTTAACCTGCACCTCTTACATCTCAGTAATCTGAACAGCTTGAAATTTCATAATAATATCACTTTGCAATATCTTTATTAAACAATAATTTGCCATCATCATATCAAATCTGAATACAATGAGCGCATCAAAAACGACGATCAATTAACCTTTCTACAATATCCGTAAGCAGTGAAAAGAATGGCATTTTCGGCGATATTTGCTACTAACGCTGGTGAAGTGCCTAAAACATTGATTTATTTGTTACTCACTAACTTAAATGTATTTTTTTTAATAAAAATTAAATGAAGAAAGTAGAATAAATAATTGTATCCAAAAATCTAATACCTAATTTTTTAATCTCATCGTGGGATTACATAATTAAAAATGAAAATTTAATCAATCTGCTACTTTTTCTATTTAATTTTCTTTACATGAAATAAAAAAAAAAAACAAACAAACCTGCATATAATCCTCGAATACCATCTAGTCGTAAAATTGATTCAAAGCATCGTATACCTTTTGGATAAAAAGTTGGAAATGTTTGCATTTTAACTTTCACAGTATCTAATGGTTGTCCAACAGCTACATTTACAACACCACCTTTAAAAAAATCAATCGTTTATCATAATGGATATAAACTATGAGTGAAATTAAATAGTAATTCAAAAAAAGCAACACCATCTTACTGTAACATATACATTTTCTCATGAATGAATAAACTTGAACAAAGAAATTGAAGAAATATTTACCTACTGTACCGGCAGCTAAATCCACAATACCATCTTTGATATGATTAACACTCGAGTACGGTATATTTACTTCAGATTTAGCCATCCAAATCATGAAATGATATATGAAGAATAAATACAGATTACAGTAACTTTTTTTTCATAAATTTATACAAAACGAATATATTTTGTGCTATCGTATAATGATAATATCACGATAACTAACATTGCTGAATGAAAATATTGTCGAAAAATTTGCAATTTTGTGATTAATGACGAAAAATTTATTCAGTAAGAAATAATGATATGGTATCCATATAAAACAAAATAATATAAAGGAACAAAAATGTTCAACTTTTCAGTACATCTCATACAAGGACTAATCATATTTTCTGCAGTTTAAAAACTGTAAACTACAAAAAATTCATTTAGTCATACTTTTCAACCGCTCAATTATTGGTTGAAGTAGTTCAATAACACTGAAAGATATGGAAAGCGATCATCTCAAAAAAAAAGCCTTTGCTAAAAGTAGAAACTATTCTGTTCCCTATGTACACATTCAATATGATTTACACAAACAATGAATTTTAATAAAATTTCTAAAATGGCTACTGTTCTTTCGGTAACATCTCATTATAGATGAGATGAAATAAGCAATATTGATAAGTGATTCTACATTGACTGGATAGTATTAAAAAAATCAGCTAATTAATTTCTTAAACGCAGTGCTTTCTTTGAAAGCACTGAATGTGGGAACTGTAAGCACTGGAAATGATTAATACTTTTTTATTACAAAAGAATTTAGATTGAACAATGAGATGAAAAAAACAACAGTTAAGGACTAAAAAAATGAAAGAACAGCCGGGACACTAATCCTACTTCATTATATTACAATACAGGACTTTTTAAATTATAAAAGCTTTTTCTGACATATTTCGTAAACCATTCGCTCACGAAAATATGGCATGTGCTCCTGACTGAAAGAGATCTGAGCACGTCGTGCTGCATATTCTGCAAATTTACATGCAAACATCCCACAATCACTACCATTCATTTGCTGCGGGATATCCTGAAATTAAATTCTATTTTCATATAATTCACGAAAAAAAATCTTCTTTTCCCCTAAAATTTTCGCAAAATTAAGCAAAAAGTTAAATCTTTCTCTCAGTAGCTAAAAAACTAACATCACGATTCGCAACCTGCCATCCGCTAAGGTCGAATTCTTTCTTCCTTTTATCTAACGATTCCTCACAAAGATATTCGCTAAAATAATGAAATTCAGTTGAACAGTGCAGTATGGATAAAATAATTCAACAAAACCCCCTTTATAAATATATATCTCTCCCTCTCAAAAAAAAAAAAAAAAATTTAAAGAAGAGAAAAAAGAATGGACGGTTACCTCAGTATATCCAAGCAGTGATCATTACTACCACCCATTGAATCATAGTAATCAATTATCCTATTTTTAAAATCAATAACCTGAAAATCCGCAACAATAGGAATAGGTACCAAGCAGTGTCACACAATATAAACAGTTTCTTTAGGAAAAAAGCAATAAAATCAAAAAAAGAGGTACTTACAGTAAGACACCAATGGGCATCCAAATGAATAGGGATCAATAACATCTCATATGCAAATATATCAATTTTACGTGTCCAGCGTCTAACAGACGCATATCCTTTGGTATTTAGTGTAGAATAAAAAAATGAGTTGAACGCATAGACCTAAAAAAGTACAATGAAGCCAGAATCAAAAATATAAATCTTGCTTCAATAAGAAAATGAAGATTGAAAGTTGTCAAAAAATTTTCTATCATTTTTCTGAAGTACTAACTATAAAAACAGGAAATTGCAGAAAAGTTGAACTGTTTTCGCTATGAAAAAATATTCACCAACCGAGTGAAGAGGCATCCAAGAACGATTTTAAAAATTTAAGCAATTAAGAAGCTACGCAAACAGCCAATTTTTTAAATTTACAAAGATTTTACTGAATAATATATTTTTAATCTATTTTTAAGTACTGAAAATTTTCAAATACTGCAGTATATATTTTTAAACACCAACCAATTCTCTATAACTGCAACTGCAAATACTTACCTTCGGTAAACTTGCATCTTTTTGTGAGCGTTCGCAAATGAGATTCATGTAAAAATTGATCACTTCATCGTTAAGCCAATCAAGTCCCTTTAACGTCAGCAAATCCTTCCGTGTTATTTCACCAGATAATTTCTCATTCGGCGGCAACTTTCGGTCCCAGGCATGTTCCACCAGCAGTAAAGCTTCACTATCAAGTTCTAAAACAACGATTCACGACACTACCAGATCATAGCCTTGAAATCTGAATGATTGGAAATTTATATTTAAATTATAATTTTAAAGATAAAAAAACAACGAGAAACCTGGAAACTCATCCTTTGCTTTCCGCAAACGAAAAATATATCCAGTAAGAGTTAGCTTTCTTCTCAGCTGCTCTTCCAAACTCAATTCCTCATCCCGTCGTGCTTCTTCTCTGCAAATAAAGAAATAGTTCATATGTTTCAATATGCTCCTGTAAAATAAAATTTATCAAGTTAAAAATTAACGAAAATATTTTAATTTTTTGTTGATATTTTTGTTATTTACATCAAACGCTTCTGAATCAGTAGCTCCTTAGCTCGACGATCCCTCAGAATAGCTTGTTGACGATGCAATGCTAAGCGATGCTCTGCTAACAATTTTGTATTTTTTTCTTTCTTCCACAAAGCTTTGAAATCATCACGATGCTTTGTATCCCAAATAACACGAACTTCTTCCCTGCAATATGCTCACATTCAAGAATTTCAAATAAAACAGTGAGACGCTAATTATAAATCAGAATGATATTCTCCTCGCAAAAACAAAACCAGAAAAATGGAAAAAAAAAACTTCTTTAAAATACCCACCCGCCCCATGAATGTTTCCTTTCTTCGTTGAAATTTTTATATTTGCTGCATTCACTATCACTATTGTTTGCTTCTTCCGTAACAGCAATATATTCCGAACTACTCATTCGGGTGGATCCTTTTCGAGATGAGCTTGTCGATGAAGATCCACTCTGTGAAAAGGAATTTAATGCAGATTGACCACGTTGTAACAGCTCAAGATAATCTGTTCTTCTGGATGATCGTTTTCTGAAATTAAAAGATCAACATCTCGTGGAATTTCTGAAATCACTTTTATACTTTAAAATTAAATCAAAGCCTACCTTTCATGATGGAAAGATGTTATGCCCGTTTTAAGGATACCCGCTTCTTCCAGAAATTTCCTATAGCGTTCTTTGCTTTCCTTGTCGACAACCTAAAATTTCAGTTGAATAACACCTTAACAACAATGTTATTGACAATAATTCAAGTGAGGCGGTCTTCCATTTTTCATTAATTAGCTTGATATGAATAAAAATGCGGGTGTACTTACGTTAGCTTGTCTACCAAAACGTTCGTTTCTGTTAGTACTGAGATTTTCTGACGAAAAAATCTTATATGGTGAGTAACGACTTGATAAAAACGTGTTCCTGTAATTATTTAAACACAAATGAAATTTAAGGTACATATATACAAGAAAATTACTTGAATTTTTGTAGCTCCTATTGATCAAATCTCTAGTCTGAAATTCAAAATTTCGATTTCACAAGTATTTCATCAATATTCAAAAAAAAAAAATACCTGGCTGAAGATAATTTTCGTCGACGTTCCCATTTATCCAATATGATATCTAATCCTAAAATATAGTGAAATTTCGACATAGTCAATGGAACATATCTTCGCTTTAAAAATGCTTTAATTTTTTGAAAATAAAAAGTTCAAATTGTAAACAAAGCAATCAGAAGGAGCAAATAATTTAATTTGACAAGATATTGTGCATAGAACGACTATAAAAAGAAAAATATTCAATCTAGATGAGATTTCAGTCAATCTAATCTTAGAAAAATGCATCATACTGGATAGCTAGAAATAAAAAATGAGAGAACCTGTTGGTGAAAATGATGGTGAAATTTGCTGACTTATGCTATGCTCTGGTTGTGGTGATGGCGAATCATACCTCAGCGTTTCATCCATTACACTGTTTTCCCGAAAAATATCCTTATTATAGGCTGAAAAAAAAAGAGTCTACATATCAAAAAAGAGTCTACCAGTTCTTCTAATTTTTTTTTCAAATTACTAGCTTTGGAAAAACTTTTACTATGATAAATAGTACTGCAAAGAACAAACAGATCTGTATTAATTATGGCAAACAATAAGTACGTACAGCTCTAAGACATGAGAGGATTTTTCCTTCACAGTGCTATGAAGTATTTTATTTTTTATTGTGATTATTATCAGCCTGAAGCTTACTAATCGCAAACTGACACCTATATTGAAAAGGTCTCCACGATCAACAAAAGAATTGATGTATCACGTCATTTTATTATCTGTTCCTTTTTGCAGGGCAGGGACTTTTTCACCAACAACCGTAAGTGATTTTAAAAATTGACAATGCTTACAGCTGTAATACATTAAGAATTCAGTTGGACTGATTGCCTAGTGTCAATCACCAAATTTTCATCTTTTATTTTACCCAATTTCAATAAAAATTTTAATACTGTGTTAATTTGCATAATTTTTAATATTCTAGCAGCTAAAATGAACAGATTAACTTTTACCCAATGTTGACACCGCATTTAATGCATTTGATGACTTCTTTTTTTCATCATCCGATTCTTTCTTTTCGTTTTCTTTGTTTTCCACTTGCTCAGCACTGCTTCCACTAGAACATGAATCTGAAAGTTAATAACTGATTTTCCAGAAATAAAAACTTTCGGAATAAGGGAAAAAAAAAACTGAAAACACTGTGAATACAAAAAAGACTGGAAAAGAAACCTTTTCTTGAAATCAAAGAATACAACACTGAATTTTCTTGTTCGATAATTACCACATCGTCATCCTCGTTAGCTAGATACAAATAAATATAAATATTCCTTCGAACAACATTCAACAATGGGTAACTATGATGGATGCCAAGAAATTATTTGAATGAAATGCGCCATATGATCACAGTTCAGCAAAACCCAAATACAATACAGCGAGAGGAAAAAAAAAAAGGTCACCAGATTATTCCGACTAATCTACCCATTGGTATTCGCGGTTTTTTATTTGTGAAGTGAAATAATTATTTAATTAATGTTACAGAAGTAAAATTATAAAAGATCAAAGTTTTTTTTTTTGGTTCCCACAAAGCTTTGAAGTATACTTCCTGATGCGCTTTAACATTTGCTTCATTTTTTCTCAATTCCAAACATGGAAGATATTTAGTTTTGCTTTTATGTAATGAAATATTCAATCAATTTTTTTCCCCAAAATCTCTCATGTCTTTATATGAATCAAAATACCACCATACTCATTGATTCAGTAGTCCTTTCCCCGTTCATTCGCTGTGTAGTGTCATTTCTTGGTCCTTTATTCATGCATGTTTCTGCAGCTGTTACAGATTTAACTGATGGTCGAAAAAGATTTGTCATTGGTGCAAGAAATCGTGTGATGAAGCCTATAAATTCGGAACTCCAGAAGTTTCAAATTTTTTGACCAAATAATTAGACAAGAGTAATTAGACTTAGAGCAAATACTGCAGGTCATCTTCGAAATTCCAAAGGAATCGAACGATTATGCTGCATGTAAAACAAACCAAAAAAGCCAAAATTGCCGTTATCACTATCATCAGATGTTGATGTAATAGTGGAAACCATTTGTTGACTGATTGGCTCCAATCTTCGCCGTTTATTTCCATACACCGAGTAACGATATGGTCGATTCCCCATGCAAAGCAAACAATTTCAAACGTTATACCATCGATTGCTAAAATCCATTTAAACATTTTATAATTAAAACTTTACTCACGGCTATCACCCTTCATCAACGCAAACAAAGAAATTTGAAAAGAAGCTCTAGTAGAATTTGTAGTATCAGATTTTTTGATACTTTCTTCTTATTGGTCCAGGACGATTTATAATCCGCCTTCATGTATGAACTGACCGAAACTAACCAATTTCTCTACGATAAAAAAAAATTCATACGATCGATAATCCCACAATTTTCTTCTTTCAAAATACATTATATATTTGCTTTCAAGAAAGTTATTCCTTTTTTATCCACTGTAAAAATAAATCGCAAACAAAATTACATGATACTTAAGCTATAGCAGACATCAATACTGTAAATACGTTCAAACAAGTGCTTTTTTTTCTTTGAAAATTTTATTGCAACGGAAAAAAAAACAGTGAAGTTTGGAAAACATAAAACTTCCAAAACATTTCGACTACATAAAACATAAAAATGCCTGATGTATGCTTACAAAACGTTTCATATGAAAATTGCCATTTATGTTTTTTAACAATGGTATAACTGCAGCGAAAATAAAGAGTCTATAATATCATCTGTAACACTATTATAATCCTTCCTCAGCTGGTTGATGGAATCTGCTACTACTTAACTTCCATTTTCTTGATATTATTCTTAATTTTTTTCCTGAGATTACTATGTCATACACTTACTGATGGTTTGTTCAAGCAATATAGCACCACTTACGGCAGTTCCAAACATTTATTTATGAAATATCTATTCCCGTAAAAAAAATTTTGTCATAAAAAAGAAACTTGCTGTTTGTGGTGTTTGCTTGTGAATAGGATATGCATGAAATTAATGAACAATTAAACAACGAATTAGCAATACTTCCTGAAATTTTTGGAATTAATGACAAATAAGAGTGACATTACATCATTACTATTAAGTGCAATGTTTAGGAGCAAATCCGTATTATACTTTCAACAATTCGTGGAAACATTTCAAATAAATTTACCAAACAAATGATTAAAATGACGTGAAACTAAAATTACATAAAAATGTTTAAAATATAATGACCTGTAAATGAAATTCAGAATTTCGAGAGTTCTAGTCAAGTTTAACTGACATATTTGCAAATAAACATTTCCATATTGGATAATTTCAGTCACTGCTGTGACGAAGCATAGATGCGTAATGAGCGATCCATACCAACTGATAGAACACTGTGTGCATCACGTCCAAATCGAACCGATGTAACGGCATCCTTATGTTCCGTTAATGTAGAAAGTACAATCCATGGTTTAACGTGTATTATTTGCACATCAGCCCCTGCTACTGCCAAATAAGTACCTGATTGATCGAAGCAAATTCCCGAAAGCTGTAAAATTAAGCAACTCGACTTTACAATGGAGTTACTTTTAACATTCGCTGTTGCCAGTCAAGTTAAAATGCAAAACTGAATACCAGTGTTACTATAGCATTATCATTATGAAAAGCCTTTAGGTATGTAATACATTAAGATAGTTCCCATTGACAAATTTATCTCTATTATTAAGCACTATATAAGGATATCTTTTTTTAAATGATACATAAAGCAAATATAACTGATCAGAAATATAATCTTATAAAAGTAGTTGGAGAACTTTTTATTATTCTTAAATTTCAATTGAAATATCAGATATCCTAATCCGAACATTTCTTAGCTTGAAGAGCAAAAAAATTGTATCGAAAGTGAATTTACCGTATGCTTTCCTTCATTGATTGTCATCGTTTTGAAGCTTTTCAATTTTCTTAAGTCCCATAATTTTACTTCACCATCCTCTGCGCCTGTCGCCAAATAGTAACCATTTTCAGAAAATGCGATTGCTTTCACCATACCTTACAAAATTATGTCCTTATTCATTAATTTTACTTACATCTTCATTAATAATTATTCCCAATTTACCATCAATAGTAACGACTAAGTGTGACCACATTTTTCATGCTTATCGATCCATAGTTTCTTCACCTATATCTGTCTTGATGAATATGAAAAAATTTACAGTAATGTGAAATTTATACAAAGCATAATAAAACATGCAATAAAGCTCAGCATAATATTTTTGCATATGTAGTGGAAGAAGCTTAACAAATTAAAAACCTCCTTTTATTGAAATTTTTGAAAAGATTAATATTTTTATCATCTCAACTCGATCTAGCTCTACAACAGCATAAAAAATATAACGAATAATACAACAAAAAACCTTGATGGCCTGGGAAATTAGCAACATTTGTTTGCTCTTTCAAATCCCAAATTTTTACTATGGAATCAGCTGTGCCAGTACCAAAAATAAGACCATCTGGATGAAATTGCCCGCAGCAAATTGGCACCTTGTTCTTCTCATCAGAGTGCACCTAAATAAGACAATGCATGGTAATAAAATAAAGTAACAAAATCATTATTATTATTTTCCAATCAAGAAATGAAGTCTAAAAAGTAAAATAAAAAAATGCATACTCTGCAAAGAGTCTTTCCGGAATGAATATCAGAGAGAGCCCAAGAAGAATCATTCGAAACAGAGAGGACGTAATCGCCAGTAGCATGCAACGATATATCTGCGACAGCACTTTCATGAGTTTCAATTACATAACGGCAAGCTTCCTCTTTGATAGACCAAACTCGAACCTAAACTGCATTATTGAATAAATAGAGTATAACAATAAAAGTCTAATTTTTTTCAAAATCTAAAGCAATTAGCACATGAATTCAGAAAGCATTTAGGAATCAGAATATGCAATCTTTCCTCATAAAACTCTATTATATTAAGTTTTTAACTTAGATTCATATCTTGAAATCTGATAAAATTTTTTTTGGAAATGAAAATTTTTCAATTCTACTTCTGAACAGTACCTGTCCATCAGAAGATGCCGAAAGACATGTTTCCTTCGTTGGGTGCAAAATAACGGCCGATATCTTCTTTTGATGTCCTTTGAATATTGCTGTAACTGTTTCTGTTTCACTATTAAACAAAACGACGCCCTTGTCAATTCCACCTGTTAGTACCATATTGTCCTGGAAAATCATTCGGTTATCTCATCTATCCTTTTTCTCAAGATATTCATCGCTATACGATTTGTTGCATGATCTTTAACGCTTAAAATTACCTGGACGTCAAGAGCTGTCAATCCAGGCACACTTGTACTATGAATTCCAGTATGGCATGCTATTTGCGTGAATGTCTTTACTAGCTCTGGTTTTGATAATGCTTCTGGCAAATTCTTTCCACGTTGTTTTCGCGCAGCTGTCAAGGTAGCCGCTTTGTCTTGCAATTTTTTCAGCACAACTTCATTGATTCCTTGCACACCTGAGGAATACAAAAAAATCCCAAAAGGTTTTCCAAACGAACAAATGGATATGATTAAAAAGCAAATTAGATAACGTCTTCTTACTTCAATGCTGTCTTGCTCCAGATTAGCATATCACAAAATATATTCAAATGATACCCTCATCAACTGTTTCCATTTCATCTTGTATGCTGCCAACGTCAACCGCTGCCTGTGGTTTCAGTGTTGAAAGTGCTTCACGTGCAGCATTTAATTCTTTCGATAAACGCGCAATCACACGACAAGCAGCATCATGCTACAAAAAGTCACGTTTTCTCGAAATTTCAAAAAATCTTTAAAACTTAAAATTTACAGTTTTATGCAATGCTTAATTTATTCCCTCGATCTAATATCACTTAGAAAAAAGACCCTTTAAATTAAAATCTAGTTACTAAGAAAGGAAAAATAAAGATTATGATGCCACATTCACTGTAAAGTAAATTGATGTCCCAACCTGATATAATGTATGCGATAATTCTTGACGTGCATTTTGCAACTGCTCACGTAACATGAAGCTATTAAGCATGCATGCGTCCCATTCATCTTGCAATACTTTTAGCATTGATGGTATTGATGTTGCCGCTATAGTTCGTGGCATTGCGTTTGTCACATCGGACTTGATTTCAACTAACTAAAGCAAAAATGACTCAAAGATAGTCAGCCAGATACTGTTATCAAATTTACACAATCAACTAATATTTCCGTTGAATTCATCGAATTTTCAAATTTGTAAACTTCTTCGCAAAAAAAATTTATTGAAGGATGTTTAATACTTGCCTGATCTACCGTAAGCGTATCGTTTTTAAATGGATCAGTGCCATTTTCGTTAATATATTTGACAATAAGCCGTTTTTCAAAAATTCGTCCAGAAACTGGCGATACAACTGGTACCTCCGCCGGTTCACCACTGATCGAACACGTATACAGTGTAGACATCTAAAAATAAGAAAATGGATAACACTGTAATCAGTAATTCTTCCTCCGTTTGAGAACTGATCACGCAAGTTGCTATTGCACACATTAACATTGCACAATATTGGTAATCCTATTGATTGTAACAATTATTAATCATTCCTTTAAAAGTGACTTTCAAACAGCTATTGTAATAAAACTGATTGCTCTACAAGTGATTCTATCAAAATTAAATGAATTGCAAAACTCTTGAATTCTATATTACACTTAAAATTGAAAATGATTTGAAAAAAAAAACAATAAATGCGATAAGTGCTTTATTCAAATAGTCTAGATAAGATTATTATAGACTGAACAACTAAATAATCTCTAAACATGTAGTGAATTTATTCAACAATTAGAACTAATGTTGTTACGGTCAAATATGACAAAGTGAAAAAAAAACTACGAATAATCTTGAAAAATTTGCATAGCTCAATCAATAATATCTTCCTGATTCAGCATTGAGACCTCTCGGGATGAAGAAAAAAAAAGGACAGGGATGAAAAAAAAAAAGGACAGATAGTAAACTGAACACGCCAATCTCGAAATAGATTTCCCGTGTCGGCTCAGATGTCAATTTGATACTTTTGTGTTATAATGCAATACCCGAACTATGGTCAGTACGAAATATCACGTCCCAACTGATGAAAAAGATTTTGATGAGAGTGGTTGTTATTATTGTTATTATTATTGTTGTTGTTGTTGTTGTTGTTGTTGTTGTTGTTG